TTTACCTATGATAGGCACTGTTCAGCTGGAGGCAGAAGAAGCTGTGGGTGGAGATATTTTTGTGATATATAAGTCTGCTACCTCACTGTTATGTATCACCAAAAAGTAAGGCTTTTCCTCCCTAAAATATTTCATATATAATCAAAAATTAATGGAGAGAAGATTCCCTTTTATTCCTTTCACCCTAGCTTCTCCTAGTGGTTCTCAAGGGGTCTAATAGAGAGAGGTGAACATTCTGTTTGGGGTTGGGGTACATAGGTTTTTGTCTCCTGGTGGGTCACTAAGCATTTCTGGCCATGCCTTTTTGGGCCCAAATTAACCTGCATTTCCTCCTGGCTATATAAGTCTGCTCCAATTGGCCGATAACTATTGAAGTTGGGTTGACAGGCTCATCATAGCATTCTCTGAACTTTTGTGTATATTTGAGATTCTATATTATAAAAAAATTAAATTTTAAGTTGCTCTAAATTAAGTAAAAATTTAAAAAAAAGGTAAGCCAAAAAGTTAAAAAAACAAAACTAAATTGGAAATCTGTTATCTTTTTAGCTGACTCTCATTTGAAATGATCCAAATCATTTTCCATTTATCATTTATTCATTCAGCAGGTATCTTTTGAGGATATACCCTGTGTGAGACAGCCTGTTAGGGTACCCTGGGACTAGGAGGGCATAACATAGACTTCTTCTTTTGTGGTCTTGCAGACAATAGGACGGTGTTGGTAATACCATGGTACAGTGAGTGATGTATGAAGTGGTGTGCAACTCCAGTGATCTCAAGCTTAGGAGACGTAGGGAAGACTTCTTTCAGTAGTTGACATGGAGCTAGGCTTTGAAGGTTATGGTGTGTTTTAGACACGTGATGAAAAGATGAAAGACATTTTATTTTTATAGATTAAGAAAGGCAGAAACCATACACCAGGACTTTAGAGGTACAGGAGGCTGCGAAGGCAGGACTGCCACACAGCCAGCCTGATTTGACAGGATTAGCTAATAGGAGAGGACAGGTGGCTCAGTTCTGCTGCCAGGGGAATGCCTCCTATGAGGAGGCTTGAAAGGACATGGGGGTTGGCAAGGCCAGTTAGGGGACTTCTGTGAAACAAATAATGAGATGCACAATTAAGGGAGTAGTAGTCTCCCTAACTCTTTTTCCTCAACCCCCAAAATTCTAAATGTGTTCTTCAGGAGACAGGAGCGATTTAATAATTGGGAAAGTACTTTATGACCTGTTAGATGCTATACAAAATGTTAATTATATTTGGAAGAAAACTAAGAAAAGAAAACCTTTATGTGTTTTATGGATTTTGTTACTTATTATAAGCTTCCTAAAGGCAGGGTTTTTGTTTGTTTGTTTGTTTATATTTTTATTGACTTGAGAGAGGAAGGGAGAGGGGGAGAGAGATAGAAACATCAATGATGAGAATCATCGATCGGTTGCCTCCTGCACACCACCTACTGGGGATCGAGCCCGCAACCCAGGCATGTGCCCTGACTGGGAATCGAACCTGGGACCCTGTAATCCACAGGCCAGTGCTCTATCCACTGAGCAAAACGGGCCTGGGCAGGATTTTTTTTTTTTTTTACTGTTGTTTTGCCATGCAGTTGGTGGTGTTTTTTTGTTTTGTTTTGTTTTTTTTTTTTATGGATCTTAGCTGTGTATAAGAGGAAATTAAGGTTTAATGTAGCTTTTTATGTTTTCTTAGTTATTATGTACAACACTCAGAACATCAGGGAAGATATCATTAAACAGAGGGAAAAAATGGGGAGGGGTTGAGGAGATTTCATCAGACCAGTTTAGAATACAGATATTTGGCTATATCTAAATTTTTTAAAATTCGCGAACCTGGATATGTGCCCTGACTGAGAATCGAACCCACAACCTTTCAGTGCACGGGACAGTGCTCCAACCAACTAAGCCACACCAGCTAGGGCTATATTTTAATTTTTTAACTATCTGAAATTCATCTCAGTGAATATTTGGTCTTTTTAAGCTTAGCTACTTGTGTTAGGGATATTTCCTGAAATTGTTAAATTGCTCATCAGTAATGTCACAGGAAATAGTAAAAAGGAAAATGTGAACAAAGAGGTGATTAAATTTATAAATGTAAATACCTAGAACACTTTTTATTCTCAAGTCTCAAAAAGATTTTTAATATAGTAAAAGCATAATTTTTAAAACACGAAAATTTTAGGTTATATTATTTTCATGGATATTTTCTAGAAAAATAATTATTTTTAACATTTTTTATTAACAATCTTGCAGTGGAGTAACCCTAGGATACATTTTCTAACTGTTAACAAGTTTAAACACTAATATTTGAGGAATTAAATACAGCTTCACTGTATACCACATTATTTCTATGGGTTGAGAATTGGGCATGGAGTGGGTATAAGAGTTATGCCAGTAATAATAAATTACATGTAAATTTTAATAATTACTGAAATGATTTATCAACTTGTTTCTCTTGGGAGAAACTGAGGCTATAATAAAAACGTATCAATTGATTTCCTCTTATGGATGTATTTATGTAGTTGTATTTAAATGTCTTATTTTCCTTCTATAAAATGTTTTTAAAAGCTATGTTATTCTTTGATATGGCAGGCTTTTTGTAACATAAAGCCCCTTTAAACAGCATTTATAGTTTTTGTTAGTGAAGGTTGTTACAGGGCCATTCTAGCTTCTCGCTTTTATCACTAAATGCATTTTAGCTAGTTATCAGATACACAGTGGGAAGCTAGGAGCAAATTAGAAGAGAAGGGAAATGGGCCTTCTCATGAACATCTTTCTAATGAATCAAGGAATCCACAGCAGTGGCATCAACCTGCTACATAATCATTTCTCCATGTTCCTGCCTTGGTAGGGAGTTGTCTCAACAGCACTGATTCGAGAGCAGAGAGCATGGAAAGTCAGATGGAAGCCTTTCCTCTGATAAGTTAAAAATAGGCACTTAAAGCCATCTTGTTAGAGGAATGAAATTTTTAAAATGTTTTTATTGATTTCAGAGAAGAAGGGAGAGGGAGAGAGAGATAGAAACATCAGTGATGCGAGAGAATCATTGATCGACTGCCTCCTGTGTGCCCTGACTGGGAATTGAACCGTGACCTCCTGGTTCATAGGTCGATGCTCAACCACTGAGCCACTCCAGCTGGGCAGGAATGAAAATTTTTAATTAAAGAATATGGCCCTGGCTGTGTGTTTCAGTTGATTGGAGCATTGTCCCTTGCAACAAAAGGTTTTGGATTTGATTCCCGGTCAGGGCACATACCCAGGTTGCGGGTCCAATCCCCATTCAGGGCACATATGGGAACAACCAATTGATGTTTCTCTCTAAAAAGAATATCTGTAAGCCCTTCATAACCCTGAAGCAGTTATGGATATATATCTTTTATGTGACTTAAATAAGTAAATCTGTGCACATGTACATTTGATTATGTGAAGAAGTATCATTTTCTCCAGTGGTGCTGCTGTATTTATTTGATTGATTGATTGGTTGGTTTACTGGTTAAGGAAAGCTTTATTGATGGAGAAGGTGCCAACCAAGAAGATGGGATCTATGCTGCTGTTATGTCAAACACTAGAGGCCCGATGCACAAAATTCGTGCAAGAGTAGGCCTTTCTTCCCCCGGCTGCCGTCACCGGCTTCCCTCCGCCATCCAGGACCCGGGCTTCCCTTGCAGCCCTGGCTTTGTCCGGAAGGTCGTCTGGAAGGATGTCCGGTCTAATTAGCATATTATGCTTTTATTATTATAGATATTACAGGTTTCTCTCTTGGATGTATCTTCAGAGCCTGAAACATTCTCATAAAGAACCTTAGCAGTTGTAGATCTCAAATATTTGGACAGTGAACTTGATTTTTGGCAAGAGCCCAAAGCTATTTAGAGTTAAGTGCAGAGGAGTAAGATGGGTGTAAGCTGGTTAGTGCCCTTTTGGGTTCAAAATGAGGTATAAAGATAAAATAATGAGACATTTTCTTCTGTGACACATAAGCTTCCTCCAGATGAAGAATTTAAGAGTAGTTTTAAGCGAGAGCAGCATTCTTGGAATAAGGTCTAGTTTCCCATTAGGGCGCTTGGAAGGATTATGTTCATATGAATGCTTGACCTCGGGCATGTAAAGCAAAATAATCCGGACATCCATTAACTTGGTGCCATGACACCTTCCCCATAGGACTGTTGTAAAGATGAAATGAGATCATGTTTGTAAGCTCTAAGCCCCTGTGTTTGGCATACGGTAAGCTCTCAATAATTGTTAGCTATATGTCATAATAATAGCTTTATAATGGTACCTAAGGGTAAGGAGAGCTCTTAATGAAAGTTATAAAGATTCAGAAAGCATTAAAATGGTAAGATACCTGGGTTTATATAATAGACAGTAGCATTTCTTTAAGGATACATTTGGGGTAAACACTATAATTAGTTTTAATGGTCATAACTTTGCTAACAACTGAGACTGTTTTCTGAGAGGTTACTGAGATTTTCTAAGTGATTAGATTAGTCTCAATAAAATTTGATTTTGAAATATTATTCTAAGCTTCTCATTACTGATATAGAGATATAAGGGTTTCAATGAAGTCAGAGAAATTGTTATGTTTGATATCAGCTTTTAAAGTGTGGTATTTTAAGATACTATAAGCTTGCTGGATTTATAATCTTATGGATATCTGGGAGTAGAAAATAATCTAATTGATTATTTTTTGCATATGGAGTATATTTAATGCCTTGCTTTGCTGTATTATTAAAGTAAAAATTATTTAACTCAGGATTTGAGATTCTTATTATTAAAGTGGCAAATATTAAATGATTTCTGATTTGAAAAGAACTCAAAACCATGCATCTATAGCTATTTTCTCCTCATCGTTGTATACATTTTATAGCATACAATTTAGTGCCTTAATTATAAGAAAAGATAAACATCTTTTTAGTTTTATAGCTATCTTGATTAATTTTTAGTAAGTGTTTTTCTCAGTAAAATACTTTCAAATTTACATTTACAATTTTTTTCAGCTTTCCTTTTAGCAAGGCAGAGAGACAGATGTCATGTGATTTGGTTGCTGTTGGCAAGAAGAGTGAGAACTTCCATCCAGTGTTTGAACATCTTAAATCAGCTCAGAATACTGAAAACAAATCTACAGGAGAATTTTCTCAGGAAATCATAACTGTAATTAATCAAATTAAAGGTTGGTATATTTTGCACATACATTAGGGATAACACAAGAATAATGTACTGACTTTCCATGAGATATAGGAAAATATCTGTGATATTGTAATAGTAATTCATATTCATTATCAGCTAGATCATTAATTAGGAAATCGGTTGAAGAGAGTAGCAAATATTAATTCAAGCCTAGTTGTTTATTTAATTACTAGAGGCCCAGTGCACAAAATTCGTGCATGGGTATGGTCCCTAGGCCTGGCCTGCAATCAGGGCCATCTTCCCCAGCTGCCCTCAGCCAACCCCGCTCCCCCGCTGCCACCCACCCCCGGTTCCCTGTTCGCCATTACATGGTCCAGCAGTCGTTCTGGTCGTTTTGCCATTGGGGTCAATTTGCATAAACAGTGCAAATCCTATATAGGAGCCTGATGCATGGGTGGGGGCCAGCTGGCCTGCCCTGAAGGGGGTCCCAGATAGGGGTAGGGGGAGCCCCTTAAGGTGTGGGGCCACCTGGGCAGGGGCCAACCCCAATCAGGGTAGGGGTTCCCGCTAGGGGGCGGGGCTGGCCTGAGCAAGGGGCTGAGGGTGGTTTGTAGGCCAGCTATGCTCCCAATCAGGGTGGGGGTCCCTGCTGGGGGCGGGGAGCCAGCCTGGGCGAGGGGCCGCCAGGGATTTGCAGGCTGGCCATGCCCCCATTGGGGTGGGGTCCCCGCTAGGGGGCGGGGCCAGCCTGGGTGAGGGGCCTGGGGTGGTTGCAGGCCAGCCACGCCCCTAATTGGGATGGGGGTCCCCACTGGGGATGGGGCCAGCCTGGGAAAGGGGCCTGGGGCAGTTTCCAGGCTGGCCAAACCCCCTCTCCCCACCCCCAGCTTTATCAGGAAGGATGTCTGGAAGACGTCCAGTCTAATTAGCATATTAGCATTTTATTAATATAGATTATTTTAAAGAGTACTAGATTCTCAAGGTAGCATGACACCTAGGCCTAGCTATGCTTTATATGTAGTTCCAATAACCTGGCGCTTCAACTCATAGTAGATTATAAATCAAAAGTTACAAAGGGAGAGGTTGGCTGCTGCAAAAACCTGTGAACTGAGAGCAGCAAGAAACAATAACTGATAACAGAACATGAAGGAGGAAGCAACAAAACCAGATATGAATCTATGGGTTAAGAAATCTGGTGACATTCTTTTTTTTAATACTCTTTTTAAAAATAGTTTTTCTTGATTGCAGAGAGAGGAAGAGGGAGAAAGAGATAGAAACATCATTGAGAGAGAAAAATTGATTGGCTGCCTCCTACACACCCCCTTCTGGGGAATGAGCCCACAACCCAGACATGTGCCCTGACCAAGAATGGAGTCTGAGACCTCCTGGTGCGTGGGATGACGCTCAACCAACTGAGCCACCACACAGGCTGTATTTAATGCCCATGAGGGCATTACAGGACTTTGTGCCAGAAGGATGATGCTTAGTGATCAATAAAAGATTCCAGTTTGATTTGGCATACTTTATAACATTAGGGAGTTGTATAATAAATAAAGATTTGCATTGACTCATTTTGTTATGCTGGCCAATTTCTATTAATTGAAAAATTTAGTCATGTAGAACAACTTTTCCTAAATGATCCTGTGTAAATAAGGTAATTATGGGTATTATAAACTAGACACCTTTGAGAATTCCAAAATTTTTATTTTATATATCTTATTAGATAATTACATTAATCTTTTCTTTTTTTAAAAAAAAATATATTTTATTGGTTTTTTACAGAGAGGAAGGGAGAGAGATAGTTAGAAACATCAATGAGAGAGAAACATCAATCAGCTGCCTCCTGCACATCCCCCACTGGGGATGTGCCCGCAACCCAGGTACATGCCCTTGACCGGAATCGAACCTGGGACCCTTCAGTCCGCAGGCTGACGCTCTATTCACTGAGCCAAACCGGTTTCGGCTACATTAATCTTTTCTTACATTCATAAAAACATATTTCAAAAAAATGAATTATTTTCTCTGCATCCCTCAAACTATGGCATATATTTACTTTGACGTACTAATATAAGGTCTGAAACAATTCGCCTTCTTAGTTCCAGCCCCTCTTACCCAAAGGAAGTGTGATTCTTGGCAGAAAGGGAGCTGGCATTGCAGAAAAAATCCAGGCGATTATCTCAGAACAATAACTGCAAGTTAGGAGAAATGATTGCTTAAGTAGCGTTCTGATGAGTCAAATGTATTATCTTTCTCTCTCTCCTGTTAAAAGCCTGCAGCATAGCTGATTTCAGAATGTCTTCATGAACTTCAGTTAATGTTAAATGGCATTAGGAGGCCTTCTGTGATATGTAAACATAACATTTAGCATTTGTTCAGAATCATTTTTATATTTCTGGGTTGTTTTTCGAGTTACTTTTCACTCGAGGTGAACTAGAGCTTCTCAAATACAGTAGTTCTTGTCTTGGAGAAAAAAGGTCCTCACTATGAGAAAGCTACTGTCTTTTCCCCCAACAAGTAAGCAGGCATGTCAAACAGGAACAGAATCTATGGGTTAATAAATCAGGTACATTACTATTGCTTGGGCTTGAGAAAGCATGGGAGCACTATGAATACTGTGGAATGTTTAGGTCCCACATATTTTTAAGAGAATACAGTTTGGATGATTTTTAATCCTTTCTTCCTGTGCTTATATATATAATCTTTTAAATGCAATCAGTTTTACAATGAGATAAAACTTCCTTTTTTTCCCCCCAGCAAATACTTTTCCATCATCTGACGTTACTCTACATGAGCGTTTCTCAAAAATACAAGATACACCAACTACAAAAGGTGCAAATGAAATTAAATCGAAATTAGATCCAGAAATTTACAGGTAATGGTTAATTACTATATGCCCACTTAACTCATGTGAATAAGCCTCAGAAGAGATGCGGGAAGGTGCTGCCTCCTGGGCTTGCTGTAGACTCTAGGACTGGATTTCCTACCTAAAAATAGGACAAACCCAAGCAGGTACTGGGGCCTGTGCACTGTGATGGGATAGGTTGTACTGAAGCCATTGACTAGCATTGTTTAATGTGGAGGACTTTGAAAATATTTTCCTACCTAACTTTGATTCTGCTGTGTCTATAGTAATTGCTTAGTGAAGTTATCACTGGAAGAATGAAAGACAGTTGTCGAGCCATTGAAATCATGGGTTGCTTCATGTGGTCAGAAGTGGCTGTTCTGAGAACAGCTGGATGAAAGCATATATGTCTTCTGCTACTGGCACCTGTTTTGTGAGCTGAGTTGAAGCAATGTTAGAATGCAGTAGATCACTGGAGTAAAGTTTAAGGTTACACAAACTAGTGATTTGAGAACCACTAAGGTGTCACTGGGGGCTGTTCAAAGGATATGAATGTCTTGGGAAACTGCCACATAGATGAAAAACTACCTCATGGCAAGTTTCTTTTGCTTCCTCCAAGACACACCAGTTTTGCTTCAAATTCCATTCTGTAGTAATGGAATGAAGGTATCAGTGTATAACATAATCATTTGATTGTAATATGTCTTTATTATTTTAGGAAAATAGATATGTGTTTGGCTGAGTTTCGGAATAAACAAAATACGGTATGTGGTTCAGAACAGGTAAGTGCATACAATTTTTGTTGCGAGATTATTTTATCATTGGCATACGGAATGGAAAAGGAAACTGGGGATGGGGAGTAACAAAAAGGGAGTTAAAGTAGATGAAGAAGAAGGATTGAGATCCAAGAATCTGAAACTTACAAAGCTCTCCATCGGATTCTAGTTATTGGCCAGGTTGCAGAAAGACAACTTACAAAAGACAAAAATATTCCCTAAGAGAGACAGTCCCTAAGGGCAACTGCTTTGTAAAATTGACACAAAATTGTAACCTTTAATATTCATTCCAGACTTTACACTGAAAAGCTTGTAGAAAGTATGTTTGATACCTAGTTTTTCCAAAGTAGTTGCATAATGTATTTTTAAATCGTATGTAGAGTGAATGCAAAAGAACTTAGTTTTATTTGATATTGTCCTTCTGTTTATTGTAAAATGTGTGAAAGAGTATATGGAATATGAACAAGCAAAATAATGGAAATAATGCTGAATTTTTTTATTGTCACGTGTTGTGTGTGGTGGTTCCCACCCCAGACCTCCCGTGACCCATTTCTTGGCTAATTAGAAAAACTGTCATAACTAGCCAAGCGGGAAGAAACATGGCTCTTGTTTTAGAAGTATATTAAGTTCTAAAAGAGCTGCTGGTTTATTCACTGAGAGTAAAGAGTTTTTCTTAAGGGGAGATTTTAATACATTTCTGATAGAATAAATAAATGTTTTATTTGTGAATGGTTACAATTTTTATTGAACTTATGGAGATAGGTTAGTTTATTAAATAAATGAAATTTTCAGAAAATTTCTACTTATCAAAGTACTGTAATCAACTTAAAGGAAATTGGAGGGTTTTTAAAAATTAGAGGCTAAAAAAATCCTCTAATCTAACCCCTTAACACAAAAATCTGGTTTGGTCATCTTTTCTTGCAGTCCTACCTCTAGCATTTTACCATAGTCACTATCATAGGATAGGCAGTTCTCCATGCTTTTTTTCTTTTTACTTAAACTGTAATAACACCTGTGACCTTTTATGATTGAGGCTCTTAAGTTTCAATTAAATTTTTTTCAAACACTTTAATAAACGTTTTTATGATAACTTCCACATTAGCATAATTTAAATGCTTGTACATTATTCCTTTGACTTAAATTTACCATAAAATCATTCTTCCCTTCCCCTTTAATTTTTTTATATTTAAGTTGCTTTTCATTGTTTTTTTGTTGTTATTTTAAATATAGCACTTTGAATATATTTGGGTAGATAGCCTTTTCTTTGGAATAGAGTCCCAGAAGTGGGATTCCTGGTTCAATGCCATAAGCTTTTCTTACTCAGTATCTAAAAATATTTTTATTAATTTACACTACAATTAGTTGGATGAGTACAAGATAACTTACTTAGGACTTTTGCTTAAGGTTCTTTTTAGATATGGTCTTTGTGCAACTAACAGTAATGTGAATGGTTTGTCTTCTGTCAAAATTCCTCAGACTCAGGTCAAAATAATAGATCCAAATGACCTACGACATGACATTGAAAGAAGGAGAAAAGAACGGTTACAGAATGAAGATGAGCACAGTTTTCACATAGATAGTGCTGCAGAGAGGTAATCAGTAGATGAAAAACATCCTGTTATCAGGGAGTTTTTGGTATTAGCATATATTTTTCAATTATTTTTGTGTGGTGATAATTTTAATTTTAGCATAAGGATTTAATCCTTCAAATCTATTTTATATATTTAGGTAGAATCTATTAAAATGGTTCAAGTTATTCACTGATCATCATATGCTGTTTGATTTAAATAACAAAAATTATGAGGAGTAAGTGAATATTTAAGGTCTTGATAATTCGAGAAAAGAGTATAACAGTTTTTTAAATATTAGCAAGAGCCAGGACCAGCAAGTTTATGGATTATTTGGCTCAAGCTGATTCAAACTCAGACACATTTTGCCCTTTAGATTCTGGTATTCTTTGAATATTGCAAAATTTGCTGAGGTCAGTGCAGTTCTCTTCATGAATGTCTGACCATGAAACAAGCAGGTGTAGTAGAAAATGCAAGGAGCCCTAGCCAGTTTGGCTCAGTGGCTATAGCGTTGGCCTGCAGACGGAAGGATCCTGGGTTCAATTCCGGTCAAGGGCACATGCCGGGGTTGCGGGCTCAGTTCCCAGTAGGTGGCATGCAGGAGACAGGAGACTGGAGTTTGAACTCCACCTCTGCCAGTTTGTAAGCTCTTGGGCATACTTGCTTAGTTTCCTCTCTAAAATGAGAATAATCAATTGGCAATGGAGAGGTTAGAATAGTAAATGGGCTGGTACATGCAAAGTACATAAGCCATGCCATGGCAAATTGATTGGCAGTAGATTCTTGTTTTTCCTTCCCATACTTATGCCTCTTTTTAGGGGCTCTGAGTATTGTAGGTTGGCCCCAGTTCATCTCTAGTTTTAAAAACTATATGGAACTCATAGTAACGGTGGGACTCTATGTGATTATGTGGTGTAATTGAATGGGACAAAATTTCCAGTTCACCCCAATAGTTCTCATACTATTTGGATCTCCCAGAAAATGTGAATATATGACTAGAAAGGGCAAATGCCAATTCCCTTCCCATGGTCCTTAGTGTCAAATTACTGATATTTGACTAGATTTTTAAGTCTATGGTTAACTAGGTCTTAAGTCAGAATATATGGAGTTTGTTTAAAACTGGACTTGATTCTGACAATAAGTTTGGGACCAATTAAAAGATAGCAAAACTGTGTTGAGGCATATAAAAAATTGAAAGTAAAATAGTAGCTCGGCCGGCGAGGCTCAGTGGTTGAGCGTGGACTTATAAACCAGGAGGTGATGGTTCAGGTTGCGGGCTTGGTCCCCAGTGTGGGGCATGCAGGAGGCAGCCAGTCATTGATTCTCTCTCATGAGTGACGTTTCTATATCTCTCTCTCCCTTCCTCTTCAAAATCAATAAAAACATGTATATATTTTTTAAAAGTTTAAATCTCATTCCTTGGTAGGTGAAAGTGACACAAGCTCTCATGCTTTTCTTGACTCAGCAAGTGTAAGAGACTCAGTGTACCAAGAAAGAGGATTTTAAAAACAGTTAAGACAATCAACAAATAAAGGCCATGGAATGCTTCAGAATATATCTTCACACTTTGAGCACTGAATTCAACGCCTGGCTCTGTAGTGACTGACATTAAACAATTTATTTCGTCTCTATTTCCTCAGCTGTAAAACAGATAAGAATTATACTTACCTCACAGTGGTGGTTAAGACTAAGTAGAGTGATGCATGGAAGGCACAGAATAGCTGGTCAGTGATACATATTATTAATGTTAGCCTTGAGGATGGTGCTGTAGCATGCAAAGATTTTTTCCTGCAAGATGTCTTTTGCTGGGTCAGTTGGTGAGGTAGTGGAAGCATGAAGTTTGTGTGTTTTTTTAATTGAGATATTGCCATAAAATTCACCCTTTGAAAGTGAACGAACAATTCAGTATTTTTTTAGTATACTCACAAAATTGTATAACTGTTACCACTATCTAATTCCCAAGCATTTTCATCATGCCCAAAAGAAACCCTGTACCCATTAGTTGTCACTTCTTATATGTCCTTCTGCCCTGCCCCTGGCAAGCACTGATCTACTTTCTGTCTGTTTTGACTATTCTTGACATTTCATATCATTTCAGTCATCTAATATGTGGCCTTTTGTGACTGTTTTTATGTACCAAAATGTTTTCAACATTCCTCTATGTAACATGAATATTCCTTTTATGGCTGAATAATATTCCATTGTGTGGACATGTCACATTCTGTTTATCCACTCACCAAATTGATGGATATTTGGGTTGTTTCTACTGTTTGGCAATTGTGACTAATGGTGCTGTGAAAATTTGTGTGCACATTTTTTTTGTGGACATATGTTCTCATTTTTGTATACACTTAGGTTTGGAATTGCTGCGTCATTGATAACTTTGCTGAACTAGAATTAACTTTATAGAAATCTTTTATTCATATATTCAACAAATATTTATATATTTAATTTCTATGTTCTAGTCATTATTTAAGCACTGGGCATACAGTGAAAAGCTATACACCAAGCATTTGCCCTCATGAAGCTTATAATTTAATTGTAAGAGAAAGAAAAAATAAATATATTTCAGTCAGGGTAGGTAAAAGTAAGGCAGAGAGGAACTTTAATAGAGTGATAGCGTGTTATGATTTTACTTACAATAGTTATGGAATGCACTTATGTTTGTGTGCTTTTTAAAATTGAGCAGGGATGTGATTATGTGCATTAGCCATAGGGTTTTTTAGAAGGGATAGTGCAAATGTGAAGACCTTGAGGCAGAATCACACTTGCTCTTGTCTAAGGATTAGAAAGGGGCCAATGGGGTTGTAACACAGTGAAAAAGGGAGAGAGTTCGATAAGACCAAATCACAAAGGACATTGGAGAACATGAAGACTTTGTAATTTACTTTGAGGGAGATTAGAAAACATTTTGGTTTCTAATCCGAGAAGAGACATAATCTCATTAAATTTTAAAAGGATCACTGTGCTTGTTGGGTGGAAAATGAACTGTAAGAGTAGAGGAACAATCCTTTCATGTAAAAAAAAAAAATTAGAGGCAGGAAGGCAGAGCATGGTAGGGTAGAGCCTTTGGAACCAGGCTCCTTCGATCTTACTCCAGATAGCCCCTGCACATGGCGCTTGCCTGGTAGTCCAAGATGAGCATTTGTGCCCTAGCCATCATGTCCACGTTCCAGCCTTTTCTTTAAAGACTTCCTGGAATTTCCATGTGATACTTTAGCAACATTGGTCTTAATTTAGTCTCCTGGCCATGCCTAGCTGCAGGGAGGCTGGGAAATATGTTCTTTAACTTGGACACTCATTTGCCTGGTCAAAAAATCAAATATAAAAATCTATAAAAGTTTTATTGTGGTAAAATATGCATATCATACATTTTACCATTTTTAAGTGTACAGTTAATTGGCATTAGGTACATTCACAATGTTGTGCAACCATCACCACTGTTCACTTCCAGAAGTTTTTAATCTTCTTAAACAGGAACTCTGTACAAAGTAAACTCTAACTCCCCATACACCGTGCCCCCAGCCCCTGATATTCTTTCTGTCTCTCTGAATTTGCCTATTGTAGTTACATGTATATATGTAAGTAGAATCTTACAGTAATCATCCTTTTGTGTCTGGCTTATTTGACTTATAATGTTTTTCATCCATGTTGTGTCATATGTCAGAGTTCTAGTCTTTTTTAAAACTTCATTCCTTTATAAAGCGGAATGATATGCCATTGTATGGATATCCTCATCTTGTTTTTCTGTTGATGGACATTTGGGTTTCCATCTTTTGGCTATTGTGAACATTGGTGTTGTCATCTTTTTTATTATAGCCACTCTAGTGGGCATAAAGTATTATTTAATTGGCATTTTGATTTGCATTTCTCTAGTGACTAATGCTGTTGAGCATCTTTCCATGTGCTTTTTGTGTCTTCTTTGGAAAGTATCTATTCAAATCCTTTGTCCATTTTTAAAATTGGATTCTTGTATTTTTAATATTGAGGTGTAATGGTTATTTATAATTCTGGATACTACTCCCTTATCAGACAGGCACTTTGCAAAGAGGATATTTTAAATAAAGTCCATCAAGTAGTAGAACATGCTAGCAGTAAACAGCTGAAAGAATATAACAAAGTTGAAAAACAAAAATATAAGACATTCTTAATTTAACTAGTCAGAGATGACCACTATTAATGTTTAGTACATTTTCTATAATTTATTTATTTATTTCTGGGCATATATGTGTATATTTTAAATAATTGAAATTATCCTTATGATGTGGCTTTGCACCCTATTTTTTGATTTACTATCATTATCAGGAGTATTTTGACAGAAAATAGGGTGGGGTTCTTGTTGTTGTGTTTTTTTTTTTTTTACATTTCAAAAAAACCTGAATGGCTAATTCATGTCAGGTTCTGGGGTCAGAGCTAGGGCCACAAAACAAACCATCCACGGTGTCTCCTCTGAAGGGATCAGCTTGCAGGGTGAAACAGACAGGTGCCCCAGCAGTTACACATGCAAGTGATCAGGTAGAGACCTGAGATGCTACATATGCATTTAGCAGGGGTGCCTAGGCCACCATAGAGGGGTCTGGGAAAGCCTTCCTGGAACAGGTGCAAGTGGAGCTAAATCTGGAAGTTGCTCTAAGTTAGAAGGAACTTACCACAGAAGGAAGTACACATGCAAAGGCGTGGAAGCAGGAGAGACTGTGCCAGGAGCCACATGCAGCTAAATGTTCCTGAAGCTCAGTGTGCATGCTGGGGAGGGAGAATGGAATGAAGCAGCCAGGCAAGCAGCAAGGGACAGAGCAAGAAGGGCCTCAGGGATCATGATGAAGAGTGTGGATTTTGTCCCCATGTCACTGAGGGACAGAGACCTGTGGGATGGACTGAAGCAGGGCCGAGGCAGTGAGACGTTTGTTCACTGTAGAGCAGAAAGGGTGTGAGGAGCACCGTGGGAAGATATGGGATGGAAAGGGAGAGGACTCTGAAGGCTATGGAAATGAGACCCCGGGGCTGGAGGAGAAGCCTAGGGAAGGACCTCCATCCCACATAGGGCTGCCCTCCCTCTGGGAAGAGCCCTTGTTGGCTTCTGGTCCTGTGGTGAGCGTAGAGGGGGCTGTCCTTGGCTTCTGTGACCCAGCAGTGTCAGAGGCCCCTGCTCTGTCATGAGGGGACTTTGAGCCCATCACACACCTCATCTCTGGTGCTTTCACCACTAAGAGTTTGTTGGCAAGAGGGGTCTAGTGCTGCCAAAGGCTTGAGAGCAGTTATTTTCTACCCTCAGAAAATACACATTCTCATGGTTCCAAGGCGTTACAGCCCTCAGAAGGCCTGTCCTTGGACCCCAGATTGAGAATGCTGGTCCAAGGAATACTGTTTTACCCCTGTTGTTAACTTACACTCAGCTAAATAATGTTTGTTGATAAATGAAGGTTTTAACCTTGGAAACTATTTGTGATTTTAGTAGTGATAGATAATTGAGATTATTTTTACTGTTGTGCCACTTTGTCTCTGAAGGGGATAATTTGATTTCTCATGTTTATTTGTTGGATGAAAGTAAACTAATAAAAGATTCTGATTTTCTGTCTCTCATTTTATTAGGAATAATCAGTTTTCCTGTTTTTCATCTCATGATGATAGCTTCCCAAACCATCAATATGTTACAAGTTCAAATTATAGAAAGTTTACTCAGACTCTTTACATGGTAAGATTGCAGTTCTAAATTTTTCATTTTTCTCCATTCTATCTTCCTCAGCTATATCTGTGTGTACAGGGATCACCAATATTTTTCATAATGTCTATAACTAATTGTTCAGTAAGTATGGGTTATAATTCTTTTGTTTAACATTAAGATTCTGTTGAGGCATATAATTATGACAGAAGAAATGGTCATCTCTTATTTGATTTAGCAGGATTTTATTGTACTTATTATATAACTAGCTTTCTTTACTTAAGAACAGTGTTATTAAGATATAACTTACATACCATGAAATTTACCTGTTTTAGGGGTATGATTTAATAATTTTTTGTAAATTTACCAAGATGTGTAACCATTACCATAATCCAGTTTTAGAACATTTTTGTGACCCCAGTAAGAGCCCTTATGCATGCTAACTTCTAATCTACTTTTTGTTTTTAAAGATTTGCCTTTTCATAGGGCAGTTCACAAATGGCAGCTGGCTTCCATAAGAGCAAGCAAGTGATGTCTAGAAAGATAGACACCAGAGTGTGTTTGTAACCTAATCTCAGCTGCAGTACTCTATTTGTAAGAAGCAAGTGCAGCCGAAACCGGTTTGGCTCAGTGGATAGAGCGTCGGCTTGCGGACTGAAAGGTCCCAGGTTCGATTCCGGTCAAGGGCATGTACCTGGGTTGCGGGCACAGCAACCCAAGCCCTGACCTCGAATGGAACCATGACCTCCTGGTTCATAGGTCAATGCTCAACCACTGAGTTGCGCCAGCTGGGCTGTGACTTTTTTTTTAACTGAGGAGAGAGGTAAAGGTATGAAAGGAATATTTGAGAAGTATAGACTCAAATGGAATAAAGAGGTTATAAGACTATTAGAGGGCTGGTACACAACATTCATACACTGGCGGCGGGGGGTAGGGGGTTCCCTCAGCCTGGCCTGTGCCCTTTAGCAGTCTGGGAGCCCTCAGGGGATGTCCAACTGACGGCTTAAGCCTGCTTCTCCCCACCCACTGCTGCACTCACTGTCAGCCTGGCTTGTGGCTAAGCAGCTGAGTGGCGCTTCCCCTGTGGAAGTGCACTGACCACGAGGGGGCAGCTCCTGGTGGTCAGTGCGCATCACAGCAACCAGTGGTCCTGCCGTTCGGTCAATTTGCATTTACCCTTTTATTATATAGGATTATTTTGGGGGAAAAGAAGCCATCTTTCAGAATGGGCCCTATCTTTTCTGTTCCCATCAAAAGGTTCAGGTTCTTTGTAGTTACTGTCTTAATTCTCTGACTTCTGATAGTTTCCTAGTCATGGTAGGAGCATTTGCTCAAATAATTGATCTGAGCAGCAAAACCTGCCTCCTACAGTGTTGAGAATTTGTTTTCTTATACAATGGGGATTCTAGCAACTCCTGATAATAATGGGTTGGTTTCTCTTCTGCATGCTTGAATAAATCCTACATTTTTAGTCCATTTTGTAAAAGTTACCCATTGTGTTATGCAGGAGTATTTTTTTACACTTCTCACGTTTGTGAATTAAACTAGCCCTTCACAAACTAGCATGGTTTATGTGAAGGAAGATATATATATGTTCCTATAGTTAAGCTACATGCTACATGTTTTGTGTTCTTAATCCTGTACATTTAAAATGGGTGCTTAATAATAAAATGAAGTTTTAAAAGTAAACTTTAACATGTATTAACCCATGCTAATACTTTTTCCACACAGGATTATACTATGGAGAGAAGCAACAACATTACTCACAAGGCATTTGAAGTTAAGAGAAAGCATCAAAAGAGAAGGGGCTTTAGACCTTATAAGGTATTGAGTGTTATTTTCCATTTAATTCTAGCTTTTGGTTTATGCTTTGAACATAATGCTTTAAGTAATGGCTAAATTCAAAGCTGTTTATAGTAGCTATATTCTTTCTGGACACTTAGAGTTAACTTTAATCAATTTAATGATGACTTCTTTCCTCAGGACTTGATTTTCAATTTTTTTGTAGCCAGTGGAACATTTTTACAAATATTACATGGAAATACAAATACATAAAAAAAATACACAGAATGGCTTTCAGTGGGGAGGCAGGCCAGGTCTCAAACCCTTCTTCTAAGTCTGTCCCTTTATCTCTAAGACAAAAGTGCATAGCTATAGAACCTTCTCCAGGATTTACAGATATAAAAAACCCTGCCCACAAATAGACATGCAGCCCTCAAAGGCCTTCTGGATCGACCATCAGAGAAAGTTTCTGATCCAGGAAGCTTTGTTAAAGATACTCCATCACATTATTTGTGTACAGCTATGTCTGATGTAAGTGATAGTTTTAATCAACCAGCATGTTTGATTATCCCGATAACCTCATCCCCCAAACGTAACGGATATGAATAGTAGTGTATTTCTCTTTTCTTGCTCTCAGAAGTTGAAGTGCTTTTTAAACCCACCTGGACTGATTTTCCTGCTTATGATAGGTACTTTATTCATATTTTTCATTCCACAGTGTTTTCCCTACCCCCCAAAAAAGAAGAATCTGAGGTTTTTGTGTGTGAAAGGAGCAAGCAGGCTGGACGGAGTAGTTAGCTCAGTAGGAAGTTAGTATGAGCAGAAAGATATTATAAACTGTCCTCAAACCATAGAGTAGGAGGGTAGCTGAGTGATCTGTTAATACCTGGCTTCTTGAGAGTCAAAATTTTAAGATGTCAAAAGATTTTTTCCACTGGTAGCAACACAATTAGTAGGCATTGAGTAGATAGCATTTTAGTCAATAGTTCACGTACCTAAACACACGTGTGACATTAGGTTTTCAAAAATAGCTATGGCCATAGAATATATAAACATGTTTTATACCATCTTTTAATGTCTTAAAATCATTAACTAAAAATGTGATGTCTGCATAGCTTTGAAACTCTGTCAATGGACTTTCAGATTTAAGTGCTTCCTACATGTTGTTCTAATCATTGGTCAGATAAAGTTGATTGTAGTCTTTTTCTACAGTTGTTATGAGTTCTTTCATGTTATCCTTCCTCCTTAATGAAAAGTTCATTGACATTAATTATAAATTTTTAAAAAATATATGCAATAATTTTCTTGACCATTCATTTGAAGCTGTGTAACATTTTATGATTATTTGGAAGTCCACAATCCTTTATAGTAAAATAGGAGGAGGAAATAATCCTTCCTAAGAAAAGGATTTGATTAAAATTTACTTTTTATATTGGTCCAATTACTTTGAATTGGACTAATTCAAAGCCAGAATTAGTAATCACCTTATGAGATATGTAACAGTGGACATTGTAAATAGTATGCAAGTAGTTTTAACAAAATTGCTGTCTCATAATTCTGTTTTACCTGAATTTTTTATAGTCTTAAAAAATAATTGGAAAATAGGTGTGGTTTATATACTTTTTATAAACTTATATACTTCTTTATGCATGACATACCCATTGTTAAATAATTGTGGAAAGAAGAATATACTTAGTTTTTATAATTACTCCATTATTATATACCATTTGTACATTTCCACATGGGAAACACAACAATTCATTGTCATTTTACATCTATTGTAATTTTGGGCAGTCTTTTTAAGTATAATTCTTAACTTGAAAATACTTGCTAAGGGAATTTTTATGTTAAAGAAAGATTAGTTTTTTCTGGCTAGGTGGCTCAGTTGATTGGAGCATTGTCCCGAGCACCAAAAAGATTGCAGGTTTGATTCCTGGTCAGGGCACATATCTATTTGCAGGTTTGATTCTCAGTCAGGGTGTGTTGGGGAGGCAGCCACTGGATGGTTCTCTCTCACATTAATGTTTCTCTCTCTCCCCCCGTCCCACTTCCTCTCTCTCTCAATTCAATAAAAACATATCCTTGGTTTAGGATTAAAAAAGAAATATTGGCTTGAAGGTACTGACAAGAATAAAGTTAAGAGAGTGTTTTTATTCTTACATAGACGTTGATACTTAATGCCTTCCCTCAATTTGTGATTTGATATATTTCACTATGAATAAGAAGGAAAATTTCAGCTCATTAGAGGTTTTGGAAGTTGTATTTTTCTTAGCGTGATCAATTTCAAAATTATTTAACTTAATGGTTTTAAAAATGGTTTTATGTGAATTTGTAAATTTTTATATAACCCTTGGCCAGTGTGGCTCAGTTGTTTGGAGCATCATCCTGTATACCAAGAGGTGACGGGTTTGATTCCCAGTCAGGGCACATATCCAGGTTGCAGTTTCCATCCCTGGTCTGGACATGTGTGGGAGGCAATTGATCAATGTCTCTCTCTCTCTCTCTCTCTCTCTCTCTCTCTCTCTCTCTCTCTCTCTGTCTCTCTCCCTCCCCTCCCTTCCTCTCTTTAAAATCAATGCAAAAAGTTTTTAAAAAATAAGCTAGGAAACTAGTTTGAGAAAAATGTACTTTATTTCCATCATTAACCTCTTCCCTTTTAATATTTGTAGTGGCTAGAATCAAGGGCAGCTCTAAATACCAGACATTTTTCCATTTCTTACTCTAATAAAGTAGATTTGGAAGCTATAGTTTTAAGATTTAATTATTTCTTTCCTTTTCAGGCCAAGTTTAGAGGTGGCAGGCTGAAGCCCTATGGTAAATCAGGCCTAGTAAAGAAGAGCTTGAACATTCAGGCTAAATATCAGCGTTTACGGTATGCTGGTTCAAAGGGATTTTTCACTAAAAAATACAGAGAAAGATTGCTGAGGAAAAGAAAGGTTAGTTGGATTATGATTCATTAAAAATACTGAGTGACTTTGGAACTCATAAATTATCTCTGATTAATAGATAAATTGGGTTTTTAATTTAATTTGACTTGGGAAACAACCTAGGTTTCAAAAATACTCTTATTGTATAATAGTTGCAGAAAAACTTCAAGGAGCAGTGGTAATAGTGCTGTGAGACTGTTTAATCTGAAAATGCTTTTAGCTGTTATACCTCAAATATTTTAAATATAACAGCTGTTGAAACTTTTTACCTTAGAATATCTCCTCTATGATTCATTTTTGAAATGGAAATTCAGGTAGACTTTTAACTGATATATTTTAGCCTTATAAAATATGAATTATCTAAGTACCAAAAAATATTGAACTGACTGTAGAAAAAGGGTACATAATTGCAAAATATGCTAACTCTTCATTTTCCCCTACTCATATATGCTTTATTTTGATAAAATATATAAAAAATTTACCATTTTAACCATTTTTAGGTATACAATTCAATGGTATTAATTACATTCAGAATGCTGTGTAAGCATCACTACTTTATGCTAACTCTTCATGCTAATAAAAAGTTTCTTGCTCTGCTGGCATGGCTCAGTGGTTGAGTGTCAACCTAAAAACTAGGTACAGTGATGGCGAACCTTTTGAGCTCAGCGTGTCAGCATTTTGAAAAACCGTAACTTAACTCTGATGCCGTGTCACATATAGAAATTTTTTGATATTTGCAACCATAGTAAAACAAAGACTTACATTTTTGATATTTATTTTATATATTTAAATGCCATTTAACAAAGAAAAATCAACCAAAAAAATGAGTACGCGTGTCACCTCTGACACGCGTGTCATAGGTTCGCCATCACTGAACTAGGAGGTCATGGTTCGATTCCTGGTCAGGGCACACGCCTGGGTTGTAGGCTTGATTCCTAGTGTGGGGCATGCAGAAGACAGCCTATCAATGATTCTCTCTCATTATTGATGTTTATATCTCTCTCTCCCCCTTTCCCTTCCTCTCTAAAATAAAGTATATTTTTAGAAAAGTTTCTTTACTTGATCATTTGAATTTCATACTCTTTTAGTTGTAGATAGATTTTATTTAAATTTACCATATTGGTATTTGAAAATACAGCATCAATATGATATAAAATTACATGCTACATATTATATTTTAAAATGAGAATAATAGAATTATATCAGTTAAGGGAGGTTATTTTGTCAATATTTTTATTAATCTTTGTTAATAATTATGGAAGAATATTTTCTTCTGGGAAATGTCTGTATATTTAGTGTTGCTATCCAATAGTCCAACTGTGGTTTTATAAATTTGTTAACCATAAATGTTTCCTTAAATATTCATACCTGTGAAGCCTTTACACTGAGCTTGCTTAGTGGTTTTAGTAAAACTTGTTTTTTAAAACATGGATCAATAGAATGGAGTTTACAGCTGATTTTTTTCAGTTTTGAAATTAGATATATCTTCTGAACTTCTCTCACCTCCTAATTTTAATTGAGCACCTTAGAAGAGGTTTCTAATTTCACTGTGTATGTCATCCTAGGTGTTATGAAAGCCATCTTTCCTTTAAAAATGGAGTGAAATTGCTATAATTTTCCCCTCTTATACCCCTCCCTGCTGTTGGACTGAGGTGCTAGCTTCTCTTCCTGACTTGTGTGGCAAATTTCTTTGCAGCAGATCTTTCTACATATTTATCCCCAATCACAGGTGGCAGCTTGCATGGTCTCAGGGAAGCTAGTCATTGATTTCCACTTGAGGAGGAAGGCTGAAGCAAGCCTTTCCCTTAACTTTATGGTTGAGTTTCAGGTACATGTTATGTGTTTCTCTTCTGTTAGTTCTTTGCTGAACTTTGAGTGTTAGCTTCATTCAATTCCATTTTTACCTCTATTCTTGCCATGATTTGGGGCTCCTGGGCGATTACTTGACTGCTTGCCTCAGCCAATGCTTCCTATACACTCATTGGACTTGCTCCATTTCATCATTCTTGTTTTTGCCTCACCTTGCCCTGTTCCTACCGACCACCCAGTTCTTCCAGACCACTGACCTCGCTTAGCAGCAAATAGAAACCAGACGTCAAGCCTTCATCTTAGGACCTGATGAGTGTGTTCTAGAAGGAGCCACAGCCTGATATAGGTCTCTAATCTTTAGGGCTTAAGCTTTTTTAAAAATGGTGTGTGTTTTTTAAATATATTTTTATTTATTTTAGAGAGAGAGGAAGCGAGAGGGATAGAGAGATAGAAACATCAATGAAAGAAAACATTGTTGATCGGCTGCCTCCTGAACGCCCCCTGCTGGGGATCGAGCCTGCAGTCCAGGCATGTGCCCTAACTGGGAATCGAACTGTGACCACCTGATTCATAGGTTGATGCTCCGTCACTGAGCCACACTGACCTGGCTTTTTGTGTTATCTAAAATGTAGCAGTTATGGTTAATGGCCAGTGCAGGTCATTGGCCCTGTCCTGTTGCCTTTCACTGCCTTTTGAGTATGTTAGAGGTGGTCCCAATACACTGAATTAAAAAAAAATCAGTGTCTTCTATTGTTTTTCTTAGACATAACCCTCTGGATGCTGCTTCATATATCTTTGTACCGTAGCTACTTTGACATGGGTTTGTTCAGTCTGCCTATTGTCAGTGCCTGCAAACAAGCCACAGCCAGGCTTTTATAGATTGTGTTTGAACAAGGCATAACTCTACAAGTATGGCATGAAGTCAGGCTTCCTACTATTAGCACCCTACTTAATATCAGGGCTCCACACTCTCCTGACCTTTAGGAAAAGTAATGAGGCATTGCAGCAGCTCTGTTTCTGCCAAGGTCTTAAGGCTTACTGGGTGTTAGAGGTGTGTGTGTGGATGTTTTTTAACATATTTTCGTTCTGGTTAGTGGGAACCAAGGTACTTAAGGCTTACTTGGCCTTAGAGCTGTCCCAGTAGTATTGTGCTGAAACCCCATTCTACGTGTATAAACTGATGATTTAGACCTATTATTCCATTTTACCTCAACTTTCATGCCCTAAAGAAAAGAGGTAGAGGCCTGGAGTCTTTGGTTTCTTCTAATGTTGCTTGCTTCCTCTTTCTCTTAGATTAGGGGCACTTTTGCTCAAATGGGTTACTGGGTGTAAGGTACCATTTACATCACTTTTCATCCCAAGTCCAGCATTAGAGGGAACTTTGAAGCTACTGTCCTGGAGAGAAACCTTAGTCTGAGCAGCAATTGTTCACTGCTTTGTCTTTTTTGCCCTAATAGGAACTTCATTCTTTTCATTACTAGACCACCAGCTAGATTAATTAAGGATGTGTCATCAATTCATTAATCTAGGTACTCTAGACTTCTTCTCCCATGCCTCAAAGTCCACCAGGAAGGTTTCGATTGATCTTGTCTGGACTTCTCACTCCATCACAGTATTGAGATTGCCGGGCTGATCATTCATGGCGTGGCAGTCTTGTGACACTCAACTGTAGTGCGGTTTGGTTACTGTGCATCAGACGTGCTTCCTGTCTCCTATGTCCTCTTGTCCCACTAACCAAAACAATTGTGGCTTCCCTAAAACCACCTTGGTTCCCCAGCTGCCTACAAAGTAGTAAGATTCCCAAGCAGTATTAGGAAAGTACAGAACTGAAATTCTTTCTCGTCATTCATCATGCACTTGTCATATCAATCCCATCCTGGCAACCAAATTCCCTTTTATTGCACCTCTTTTCTATTGGATTCTGGGCTTAGGCTGAAAGATAAAGGGGTTGGAGAAATGTCTGTTACCACCTGAAATAAGGCTGGGCTTTTTAAAATATATATTTTATTGATTTTTTTACAGAGAGGAAGGGAGAGGGATAGAGAGAATCAGAAACATCGATGAGAGAGAAACATCGATCAGCTGCCTCCTGCACACTCCCTATTGGGTATGTGCCTGCAACCAAGGTACATGCCCTTGACCGGAATTGAACCTGGGACCCTTGAGTCCATAGGCTGACACTCTATCCACTGAGCCAAACCGGTTAGGTCAAGGCTGGTCTTTTTAAAAATATATATACTTTTATTGATTTCAGAGAGGAAGAGAGAGGGGGAGAGAGATAGAAACATCAATGATGAGAGAGAATCATTGCCTGGTTGCCTCCTGCATGCCCCACACTGGGGATTGAGCCCTGACCAGGAATTGAACCCTGACCTCCTGGTTCATAGGTTGACACTCAACCACTGAGCACACTGGCTGGCTGGGCAAGGCTAATCTTTTATCCACTATCATTCACAAGTGCCCCTCTTTTTTATTCTCGTCTCATCACAAAAAGTTTGCAGAAACTCTTGAGAGTCAGACTATGTAGCAGAATAGGACAAAGGACTTAGCACGAATTTATGAGGCCACCTCTGGGAACAGTGTCTCTGAACACTCAGCAGCTGTGCATTTGGTTAGGAAGACCTGGAAGTCCTTAGCATCAGAGATTCTCCAGCAGTCAGTCCTCAGGGGCCTGTCAGCTGGGTACCTATCAGAGCTCTGTCTGTGGCTGGGAAGGGGAGAAAGGAGAGAGCATAAAGATGCTGCAGGAAGGAAGTTACAGACTGGGACTTAAGGCTTTTTGAGTTGAAAAAAACCTTGAAAGTCATGGAGTACAAAGATTAGAACAGGAACCAAGATCAGACAAATGAACAAAAATCAGTTATATACCTGCTCTGTCCCTCAAACTGAAGTGTACCAGGATGCAAAAGTGTTGCATGGGAGCATCCTCTCCTTCAAACATTTATGATCTTGAGCCTCCAGTTTCACTATCTACTTCTCTGCCTTACTTATTTAGTGATTTGTTTCTTCCATGCATCCTTAAAAAAATTCACGCATTCCCTAGTGTTATATTCTTTTTAAAAATATATTTTTATTGATTTCAGAGAAGAAGTGAGAGGGAGAGAGAGTTAGAAACATCAGTGATGAGAGAGAATCATTGATTGGCTGCCCCTTGCACGCATGCCTACTGGGAATCGAGCCCACAGCCTGGGCATGTGTCC